GATTTAGCATGGGGGAGTATTTTTTTCCTGTTAAAGCATACATTTTCCATGTAGTATGTGGGAAAAAGTCCTTCTCAGCAGGAGCTGATCTTTTGACCATCAGCTCTTGGCAGTGCTCCTGAGAAGCATTGGGGCAGCACCTGCTCACCCATGGCAGGGGTTGGAATGAGACAATAGTTAAGGTCCCTTCCAACCCAAACCATTCCATGATTCAATGACCATGATTTTTTGGGGCAGGGTCTCTTAGAGAGACCGACAGCTGATGGTTCTTGTTGGACGATGGGCTAAACTTTTAGTTCTGTGTATAGGCAACAAACAGTCATCCAGGACAGGATGTTGCATCCTATAAATCAGAGACTGGATTCAAGCAAACAAAAAGCAGTGGAAGTGAGGGAATATCCTGATAATATTGTTTTCCCCAGGTCATTTTTTTCCATGCAGTGCTCCAATAATCCCCATGCCTTAAACACAGTCACCGGGGACATGGTGCACCAGCAACATGGAGACCTCACATGGATTCATCCAGTATCAGCTTTCCATTTAAATCCACTGACTTTCCTGTGGAGCTCCTTAGCTTGGTGAGGCATTAGGATTACATTTTTAGGGGCAATATTACATCAGAGCCAGCAAACTGGCTCAGTACTTTTATTTTTATGAACTTAGTACTAAACACGGAAGAGATGTAGACATGGAGACGTGGAATCACCTAAGAGCATGATGGAGAATGATGCCTCTTGCTACATATTTCTGAAGTGGTGGTTGAGTGAATAAGTATATTCACAGGTGAGGAATGGCCATAGCACCTATAAAGGACATTACAAGTCTTCTGTTTTCCCTTTGGGTTCTAAATAGGTCCAAGTTAAGCTTGGTTTTATGCCTAATCGATAAGACCATTGGGCTGCTGTGGCTTTGCTACAGGACCATGACCCAAGCACTATTTTATATGTAAAATGGATTAATTTGATGATTTATTTTCATGCAGGTATGTATTTGTGCCAAGAGAAAGGAAAAATCAAAGCCCAACTGTGGTGTTGCAGCATATTCTCCATCGCACAAGAGAAACAACCCATATCTGCCTTAACGGGATCTAGAGCAGTTGTGCTTTTGCTTGACCAGGCGAAACAAAAAACTCTCCAAACCCAAGAGGAAAGGTAACATTCAGTCTTGTTGTGAATACTGCTTGGAAAGAAAAAGGACACATTTCACCACTGCTTTGACATGAACCCTTTGACCAGTACCACCGTGGGCCTCCTCTGCTCCAACACTGGGTAGAAGCCCTATGGAGCTTGGAGGGTGGGAGTAGCCCAAATCCTGCACTGTATTTAGCTACAGCACTTAATAAATTACTATTGATCCTACTGATAAAGCCAGTACCTTGCAGCTAGAATTAAGTGCTTCTTACACTATGTATCTCTGGACTTGGATAATTAAGAGCATAGCAAGATCACTGCAGTGAGAGAAAACAGAGCTCTTTACCGGTGAAAGGCTTTGCATCAGGACCACCATGTCAACTGCTAGTTTGTGTTCGAACAGAAAACATGAAGAGCACTATTGTCATCTAAGCAAGAAGTCCTAATGCCACTGTAGTTACTTGTAGCAGCATCAATCAAGGCATCATGGTGACCCCGAGCACTAATCCTCCCCAATCCCGTTCCTCCGGTTTCGCTGGCAGCCACGGCCCAGGAAAGCTGTCTTCAGCAAGGCAGAAGCAGGTAAGAGAAAGACATTAAAAATCTATGTCCCATCCTGAGTTGTCATCAGGGGGTGGCTCGTCACTGTCCTCTGGGAAGCTGTCAAAATTGCTTGTGTCCGTTGGAGATGCGACCTGTGGGAAGAAGAGCAACAGGAAGGGGATGGGCATCAAAGTGCAACCTCTGCAGCCATTTCACAGAATCAGTTAGGCTGGAAGGGACCACAATGGACCATTTGGTCCAGTTTCCTCTTCACCTCATCTCACAGCATCATTCAGTGATCATTCAAGAGAATCCACTGCTAAGTGCAACAAGCTAGGGAAGTGTTGTATTCATAGTGTCATAGTATGTTAAGGGATTGGAATGGGCCTTAGAGTTAATCCAATCCCACCCCCCTGCCCTGGGCAGGGACACCTCCCACCAGAACAAGTTGCTCAAGAGTTTATCCAGCCTGGCTTTGAACACTGCCAGGGTTGAGGCAGCCACAGCCTCCCTGGGCAACCTGTGCCAGTGTCTCACCACCCTCACAGGAAAAAAGTCTTCCTAGTATCTAATATAAATTTCCCTCTTTCAATTCATCCCTATTACTCCTTGTCCTATCACTGCAGTTCCTAACACAGAGTCCCTCTCCAGCTTCCCTGGAGCCCCTTCAGATCCTGGTAGGTTGCTACGAGGTCTCCACAGAACCTTCTCTTCTCCAAGTTGAACAGCCCTAACTCAGCCTGTCCTCATAGGGGAGATGCTCCAATCCTCTTATCATCTTTGTGGCCTCATCTGGACTTGCTCCAACAGTTCCAGGTCCTTCTGATGCTGGGGACACCAGAACTGTGTGCAGTACTCCAGGTGAGATCTCACAAGAGCAGAGTAGAGGGAGAGAATCACCTCCTTTGACCTGGGCCTCCCTAAAGCCCAGGATTTCCCATTTATGCTCTAGGATCCTGAATTTGAGGCTATGAGCTCTGGCCTGATGCCTCTGAGTTTCCTACCAGTATTTCTCAGTCTAGAGAACCCACCAGAGAAACCAATCTTCCTAGGAGGAAGGCCAAGCACATTTTTTGTTGGGAAATAATGACATTTCAAATCTACAATAGCTAGATAATTTCAGACTTTTTTTGCTGCGTGATTGAGAGTCAAACTCTTACAATGAGACCTTGATAAAGTCAATGCAGTTCAAGACAAATATACAATACCAGAATAGACCAGCAACTCTCCAGCCCAAAATAATGAGCATCTAACTAGAAATTCAGTACTTTAAGCCTTACCCCAAGCAGCCAGAGCAGGCTGGAGGGGACTGCACAGCCACAGGAGTGCTGAGCAGGAAACATTTGCTGCAATTTTGAGCCATTTCACTTGTGCACTGGTGGAAAAAGGCAGAGCCAGAGGCCACTGACAGTTGTAGAATCGTGGAATGGTTTGGGTTGGGAAGGGACCTTAAATATTATTTCATTCCAACCTGACATGGGCAGGGACACCTTCCACTAGACCAAGTTACTCCAGGCCACATCTATTTCTGCTTTAGGGAGAGATTTGCCAAGTCCTGCTTTCTCCCACTGACCTCCAGTAACTCCTGCAGCCCACAGGACAAAAGAGAGGGGGATGGGAAACCCTCTTGCTCTTTCACAGCTGCTAAGAAAACTCTGGGTCGGCAGATTTAGCCCTGGAGCTGTGCCTGCTGCTGCTGCAGGAGGTGCAGCACAGAGCAATGGGCTGCAATTAAACACGATTGCTAATGTCATTCTCTCAGTGATCCCACGAGAGAGGCAGGGAAAGAAGGGGATTAAGTTGAAACAAGGAGGGGAGGCTGCAGAACAGAAGGGGCCAAGGTAATTTCTATCAGCTAATCCTGTTTGGTTTCCCTTTGTGGGTACAGAGCTCACAAAGACATCAAAGGAAGAGCTTTGCTCCAAATGAAAATGAGTGGAGCTGTCCCTCTGCGTCTGCTCCCAGTTAAACATAAACTAGGCAGGATCAGGGCTTTCATGTAGGACATGGATGCAGGAAAAAGAGGGTGAAAAGCACAAAAGACAAGACAGAAGGAAAGGTTAATGCAAAAGAAAAGGGAAATGGCATACAAATCCCACTTGCCTTTCCAAAAGAATAAAGGAGAAGGGAAGAGGGTACATCTGAGAGATGGGGTGAAAGTGGCAGCTCTCCACTGAAATGTGAAAAGTAAATGAAGAAATAAATGGAGCAGGTTAAGAGAGAGAAAAATGTGT